ATACACATATATATACACCCCATCTTCTTTATTCATTTGTCTATCACGTATGGAATTTAAGAAACAAAACAAATGAGCCAAGGGGGAAAAAAGAGAGAGAGACAAACCAGGAAATAGACTCTGAACTGTAGAGAACAAACTGGTGGTTTCCAGAGGGGAGGTGGGTGTGCGGGATGGGTGTAATCGATGATGGGGATTAAGGAGGGTGATGCATGGAAATGTTTAATCACTCTATTATACATCCAAAACTAATACTACACTGTATGTTAACTACACTGGAATTAAAATAAAAACTTAAAAAAAGAAAAAGAAAGTATAGAAATCTGACTGAATGCATATCTTTTGGGTACAGAAGCAATCCATCCTAAACCTTTCCTCTTTGGGAATGGTCCTGATTTTAAAATCACTTCAAAATTAGGCATTATTTTGGAGCAAGTTTACTCAGCCTCTTCATTTCTCCCTAAACAAATAAAAGCTGGGATTCAACCTAGACTTCTCCTTCCCACTCACGGTGGATTCCTCCTCCCCAGCACCTCCCAGATCCGGCCCTTTCCTGCACCCTGAACCTCTCCAGCCATTCCTCCACACACCGCTGACGTTCTAGTGAGTCCTCGTTGCTGCCTCCGAGCCTTTGCATGTGTCCTTCTCCTGCTCTCAAACTGCTGCTGATGCTGTCTCACCTGCTGTCCTCTCCACCGCCGTCTCTCCTTGCACTGCACTTACTATGGTCACTGAGCTTCTCCTGCACTCAGCACTGACTCTCACTGCTCCTGCCCATCAGGAGAGGGAGGCCAGTGAAAAAAGCTGCCAACCACAAGAGCTAGAAGATGAGGAAAACGTGATTGCCCTTCTTCAGGTGCGCCTTTAGTTGCTCACTAAAAACAAAGCCAGCTTGGCCAGAGGTGGGATACGTAATATCATTTTAGCGAGAGAGGTGAGAAAGAACATATAGTGAGTGAAGGCACTGAACCTCCTCTAGAGAATATGTTCATCAGAAAGGGGCAGCGCAAGCATTGGCAGCGACCTCCAGGCACTGCCCTGGGGGAGGAGGAAGAACTTGGCCATTTTCCTTTGCCATTCAGTCCCTGAGCAAACCTGGCTTTTGGTAAAGCCTACAAGACAAACCACCGTGACTTGGTTTGTCCTGGGCTGTGGAGAAGAGCCATCTCTACTGGGGGAGGGATGAGTCAGGCTGCAAGTCCCATACCCTTAACCAGATGATCTCTGAGGCTGCTCTTCTGAGGGTGGTGCTGAGGAGTGAGTTCAGGCTCTTACTCTGGAACCAAACCGTTGGGAGTTTGAACACTGGCTCTCCTTTCTAGCCAGGTGGGCCCAGGCAGGTTAACTGATGTCTTTGTGCTTCAGATTCTTCATTGGTAAAATGGGGATAATAACCATATGTATTTGCAAAACATACATCTGATAAAGGGTCAGATTCCAGAATATATATAAAGAACTCTACTATTTTTCACATATTAGGTTGGCAGAAAATAAAAGTAAAATAACTAGCTCAGTGTGCCAAGAGGATAAAGAACAGCCACTTTCAAATGGGAGTGTAAATGAGTCTAGCTTTCCAGCTGACAATCTGGCAAAATTGATTGCAATTAAAGATAAAAAATAAACTTTCTTTTCAAAATAAAAACTACAGTACATTTTTGGGATAATTGAGGGTGTTTGAAAATGAAGAGTACATAAGGCGAGAATTTTTTATCAACTTTTAAAAAATTAACTTTTTTTTTTTTGAGAGAGGGAGAGAGAAAGAGAGCAAGCATGAGCAGGAGAGGGGGAGAGGGAGAGGAAGAGAGGGAATACAGCAAAGTCTGAGTGATTTGAGTTTTCATTATCCTCACCGGCATTCAGTATTGCAATATTTTCTTTTAAGGACTTATTTATTTCTTGGAGAGAGAGCATGAGAGAGCAGGGGGGAGGGCAGAGGGAGAGAGAGAATCCCAAGCAGACTCCCTGCTGAGCACGGAGCCTGATGCAGAGCTCGATCCCACAACCCCGAGATCACCACCAGAGCCAAAATCAAGAGTCAGACATTCCATCAACTGAGCCGCACAGGCGTCCCCGCTGTCACTACTTTTTAACTCCAGCTATCCTGACAGATGTATAGTGATGCATCATTGTGATTTAAATTTGCATTTCTGTAATGGTTAATGGGGTTGAACATATTTTCATGTGCTTATTTATCTTACGTATATACTCTTCCATGAAATGTCTGTTCATGTCTTTATCCCCAAAATGCCGATATCTTTTGATTTAAAATCCATAGACAGATCAGCAGAGACCTCCTAAGATCTGTGCACAAGAAGTGCACTCTAACAACTTTTCAGTAACAAAATAACAGCAAACAAAAAGCCAAGCTTGGCAACAGTGCAACCAAACATTAGTAAGATGGATTACATTTTCATGGGCCCAGGGATGTGACCAAACGCTCGGGCCAAAGAATGATAAAAGGCGAAAGTATGGAATCCCTTAAAGTAGACAAAAGTTATGACTTCCCTCACACAGGCTGTGATGTCCAAGAGATAACCGCTCTCAGGTAGAGGACAAGCTTCCCAGATTTCACTTTTCTCCTGGGATGCTGCAGGTACCACCGGGCCCTCTACAAAGCTCTCTTGGCTTCTTTGTGTGGGTTTTGGATCTTTTGGCTTTTTCCAGCTACTCTGGAAAATGTGGCTGAATGCCTTCCCACCAGGTGCAAATTAGAAGGACCTCAGTACCTGCCCAGAGCGCTTCACTCAAAGACTAAATGGGTCAAGGCCACTGAGAGTTTCCCAGATTGGCCCTTTGTGATAAAGTCAGACTCCATTTTTTGGTGTCTGCCTGCTGACAGCTTGTAGACATCAACTCTCAACTCTCCCTCCTCCCCACATCTGGGCAAGCTGATAAACTCAGGTGCTCCCAAGTTTGGCACAGCGAGAGTTTCAAGCCAGGCAAGCCTCTCCCCAAGGATGGGCGCTCCTACCTGGGTCCACCCCTGATGGAAATACAAACCCTAAGCCAGTGTCCTTTCCTTGCAACCTCAAGCCATTTTCAAGCCAGCTTGGGAAGCCCGTCCTCTTCTTCCCCAAGTGCCTCATCGTGGAAGTAATAACCATTTAATACCCTCTTGATGTGTGGCCACAACACCCTCCCTTTGAGCTTTACTGTCATTGGAGCTCCTTTAAAATACCTGTTGTCAGTGACACAGATACACTCTAGGACATGTATAAACACTCTAGGCCTGACTGGAGGGTTCACCTAAAACCGAGACATGAACATGTGAGATGGATGTGTTTCCACTGTCTAATCTCAAAAAATTTGAAATCCTTATGAGTTTATTTTATCCTATCAGTAGTTCAAATGCTTACATGATTAAGGTTTATCAAGGCTACCAAAACAGAACTTCAGCTGGAGAGTCCGTTCCTGCAAGACACCTCCTTCCACAACAAGCGTCATGAAAATCATCCACCTTTTGATAATTTCAGAAGGAGATTTGGAACCAGGATGCATTTGAGTAGCAATTTCATGCTGAAAAGCCTGGGAATTTATTTCTTGGGGAGTTTTGACACAGTTGCCAGTCTGCCCAGAAGACTCTGGAGAGGGACTCTATTGAGGCATTCCTGGAATCATATTGGAAGTACCTGGCAGAGATTCCTGCTTCAAGGCATCCTTCTCAAGGGGTTTTGTGTTCTCTTGTATGAATGTGGTCTTCTTTGTGGAACTAGCTACAGATGTCAGTGGCTAAACAAAACAAAAAAGCAAAAGAGTCATTAGCAGAGACTAAAGAACACAACACTGCCATTTTCATGCCCAAGACTATTAACGAAATCATAACAGATCAGCTCTAGCAAAGCATAAGGCAAATCAGATAGGAACAAGATAATTCACCAATAATTTTACTGCCTGCCAGAATAAAACTCAATACCAGATTATCTAGTTTTCCCTTAAGGGAAAAAACTACATAATCTGGACTCCCTACAAAGTATCATCTACAATGTTCAGCACATTAGTAATAATTCCTAGACCCGTGAACCATATTCTAGAAAAAAAGGATAAAATAGAGAACCCAAAATGACAAAGATTATGGAATTGGTGGACAAGGACTTAAACCAGCTATGACAAATATTTTCAAACATTTAAAAGAGAAAAAATGGGCATAATGAGTGAAAAGTTAGGGTAGATAAGCAGAGAAAATGGAAATTATAGAAAGGAACCAGAGAGAAATTCTAAAATTGAACAGTGCAATATTCAAAATGAAAAAATTCACTGAATCCCTGAGTGGGATACTAGGCATTGTAGGAGAAGAGGTAAGTAAACCTGAAGTCAGATCAAAATAAATGATTTAAACGGAAACAGAGAAAAAAGATGGAAAAAATATATTCAGTCTCAATGAGCTATAAGAGCATATCCCGCAGTCTAGCAGCTATGTGATTGTAGTCGTTGGTGAGGGAGGAATCTTTGGAGCTTACACTCTCCCAGCCACTTCTACCTCCATCTTTGTGCCCTGTCCAGTGGATACCGTGCACAATGGATACCGTGTCCAGTGGATACTGTGTCCAGTGGATCCTGCGAGGCACTGCAGAGAGGTCTGTGGAGCATTTGCCCATGTGATCGTCAAGACCCTTCTAACTATAGGCAATAAATCTATGTGTTGACTCCATAAGAATGTGTTTGTAAAACATTCGTATGGCTACAGCTTTATAAACAAAGGGATTGTTTTCAAACTCAGAATCATGGCTTACTTACTCAAAACTGCCTCAACTTAATAAAGAGAAACCAACACAACGGCAACTTTTGCTAGCTTTCTTTGAGGTCTGACTCACATGCTGCCTCCTCTGAACATCTCTTCCTGAGTGCTATAATTGGATATGATCTCTACCCCACACAGTGCTGTTTCTACTCCTCTTTCTGACACATCCCCTGGACCAGTGGTATTCAATCAGGGGTACTCAAAGGCTTTCTCAGCCCAATGCAAGCAATGATGGTTTTAAGATATGAAGGGAAATTTTGCAAAGCTTTGAGTATGGACATAAAAACCCATCAGCAGGCCTGCTGAAATTTTATGCAACCCATCCTGGGCCTACGTGAGACCAGGTTTAATAACACTAGTGACTCAAAATCTGAAAATGACCAGGAGCAATGAAAAGTTTGTAATTTGCCTTGAGCCAAGGAAAAATAAGAACTTAGAATCTCATCTTATTTGAGGGACCTTCACTTCTTTATCTTCTACCCAGTTCTTTCCATTTTTTACTATAAGAGTAGTTCTCCCTAGCCAGGCAAGTTTGTTTTAAGATCCCTGTTGGGCATCTCTGTTTCCTTCTTAAAAAAAAAAAAAAAAGGATCATTTTCCATAATCACAATTTGCGTATGAGTTCTTTCATAAAAGTGAGAACTTGCTCCTAGTCTAGGTATTCTGCTGGCTTTTATTCCCATCTTCCCTGACAACGGCCTTTGTCTCACACTTGGCAAGGGAACAGCATACCTTTTACTCATCTAAATCTTGCAAAGGAATATTGCTACAGGGTGTAAAACATCCTGGGCGCAACTCATTTGGACAATTCCAAACATTAATGTGACCAAAGTTTTCTTTAATAAAGTCATCACGAAAACAGGGTGGAGTTTTGGAAGTCTTTCCCTGCCTTATATATATTGATATATCTGTTAACAGGGAAGCATGGTGTTAGGAAAGGATGAGAAGGGGGGCAAGGGGATGACAACTTCCTTGTCATGCCCTCCCCTCTACCATCTCTCAGCACCTGTTCCAAAGAATGAAATATTCCTGAGTGAGTTCACTTTGTCATTTTAGACTAGTGAAAAACAGTAGTACGAAACCACCTTTCTTTTGACCTCTTTTACCAATAAAACATCCAGACTTAAACAATAAATATGAATTAATTATGAGGAGAGCCAAGCATATTAGTGTGAGTATACATAAGTTAAACAGTTTCGTGTCTCTTCATCAAAGGTGGCTTTGGAAACTAGCAAAAGCCAGCGGATTGTATGAAACTGCATGGAAGATTTTAATGCACAGGATATTTAATGCACAGGATATAGTGATAGTTGGAAAGATGTCAGATATCTAAGCCCCATGAGTAGATTCCCTGTCTCGGTATCGTGCACGTTGGAGAAAGCACAAAATCAGCAGAAGGTGCTTTTCAGAAGATGGTGGCAAAAGTCGTGGGAGATCAAAGATACCCTTGTCAGGTTCATGAACACACAGCTGTTTCCGACTACAAGAAGGTAATAATTTATGACCAGTATTACAGCATTGCAGAGAAGGCATCAGTGCCTTGATACATAAATAAATAGCATGCAGTAACTAAAACACTTAATAGGAGATAATAAATAAAATAATATACCTGACTTATATATTGATAACTGTATCTGGTTTCTGAAATACTGAATAAGTTTTGAAAAGGGTTCAAAGGATCTTGTAAGGAAATATGTTAGTTCCGAGTGACTTAACAAGATTTTTAAAGAAACCAGATTTTTTCAAGCCAGTAACAGCTAAGGTATCTCCTGAAATCAAAAATGGAATTGCCTTTCAACACTTCCTTTTTTCATTGGCCAGGACTGTTGATAAGACTGGTTTACATATAACCCTAAGAAGATGGAGACAAGTGAGCTCCAGGAGCCTCAGTGCACTGGGTACTGTGGCCTCGCTGGCCTGTGGATTTCCTGGGATCCAGCTCTGGGGTGTTCTCCTGTCCCCGGCTGGGTTCCTCCCTCCCTACCTTGTCACACTTTTCACACTTCTGTTGAATCTGACACGCTTCTTGGTTCAGCATTTCTGTCATTGCGGTTTCTTTGAGGCTATTACCCTGTTCTTCCTTCAACTGGCTCTCCCGTTGGCTCTCCTGGGGTGAGAGGAGAGCGGAGTCAGGTCAGCCCCTGGGAAACCTTTTCAAACAGGCTTGCCCTCACTGGGACAGACCACAGGCCCAGGGCCCTGAGGACCTCCCGGGTTTGCTCCTGTGACTAGCTTTTGCCTGCTAGTAGGTCCAAACCCACCAATCCCACAACTCCTCTGAGCTGGATTCCCACTTCAGCCCCAGACTTCTCCACGCTTCAGGAATATCTAGGCCTAAGGGATCTCACAAGTCAAATAAACCAAGAAGCTTTCTGGGCTAGCTCTGGAATCCTACTTTGGATTTCAAATTGCCATGAGAAAGCTGGAAAGCCCTCCCCAAGACGACTCTGGGCACACACACACCTCTTCTTTTGCTTTAACGGTTTTCCTGTAATGATAAAGCCAGTGACCCAGGTACTCTATGGGGTCACTGGGCCGAACCTTCGCCACCTCTGCCAGTGCCTGGCTCAGGCAATTTCCGAAGCACCTCTTCAGGTAGTCAGTTTCCATCCTTGTGGGCCTGAGAAACAGCACAGCGGAGTCACATTACTTTATAAATCAAATCTGGTCTTTGAGATAGACACACTCTAGTCAATTCAGATCCTTTTCAGGATGAATGTGAGCTACTTCCAGATGCCACCCTTCCCAAAAGAAACAATCAATACATACTTGTCAATTGCTCTTACATTCAAATGGACTTTTTTTTTTTTTAAAGCTCTCCCACTGTCTTGGGTCAGATAATAGGTCCTGGGGGTCATGAGGCCCGAGAGGAGCTTGATAGAGTGGTGGTTAAGGGTGGCTAAGGTCTTCACTTACCCACAAATCTCTACCCTTGAGTAGGGAGGATATAATTACGCAACCAAGAGGTCCCCAGGGGGGCTCTAAGGACCCAGCAAGCTGTGCTATTATGAGGTTGGAAGCTACACTCCTCTGTGACATGGATAAGTGAGGCTTATTTATTTCAGAAGGGAAAGCCCTGTGGAGGAGAGGGAGGGAGAATGGTAGGCACCGTAGCTACCCATGGTCACAGGTTCTGCCAGGGTGTAACACACTATTTTACTCTAGAGAGCAAGCAAGAAACTAGTGGAGATTGAGCTGATACCCCAGTATTTACTATTAATCGGATTTCAGAAGCTGAAGACAGTGTAGCCCAAGTCACACGATAGGTTAGGCATGGCGGTGTAGAGCTGCAGTCTGAACACAGACTCTGGGAAGAGACAGACTGAGTTCCCCTTCTGGTACCGCCGCTTGTTAGCTGTGTGATCTTCAACAAGTCACCTGGTCTCCCTGAGCCTTGGTTTTCTCATCTGTAGAAAAAAATAATAAAGGTATGGGCTTCATAATTGCGGGGGTGAGAAGAGATAACAAACAGGTAAAGCACTTAGCCTGGCACACGGTATATGAAATATATATATTTTGGATTTTTACTTATTTGAGAGAAAGAGACAATGAGAGAGAGCATGAACAGAGGGGAGGAGGGGGGAGATGGAGAGGGAGAAGCAGGCTCTCCACTGAGCAGAGAGCCCAATGCAGGGCTTGATCTCAGGACCCTGGGATCATGACCTGAGCTGAAGACAGACTATTAACTGACTGAGCCAGCCAGGTGCTCTGGTACATGTTAAATAAATATTAGCTATTACGCTGGAAGACTGTGACATACAATGGACTAACATCTATTTCTGGTCACCTCCATATTTCTGAAGTTTACATACTTTAAGCCCAAGAGCTAATAATAAAATGAATAATAAAGTCTCAGTTCTAGTATTAACATTTTTTGGAGGTGTTTTTCAGTTTAAGGAAGGAAAGATACATAGATACTCATAGAAAAAATATATATGTATTTCCTAGCTCTTTCCATTGCAAAAGCCTAGAGGCAAAAACACTTAAGTAGCAATGAATGAACACAGTGATTATAGGGAACTTGCTTTGAAATAGCCTTTACCACTTAAGAGCAATCAGGGGTCCTTGGAGAAATGGTGAATTCCAAGGTTGGGGCAGGAGAGGTCCAAGAAGCCTGGAACATTTTCTTGTCTCAGAAAGTAGAAAAATGCTAGAAAATAAGCGATTAAGGGCACAGGAACCAGCAGACTGGGCTGCTACTGGCCCAATCTGGGGCAATTAGACCACTGAAATAAATATTGACTCTAACGCATTATAATTAATTGGGTAAAATAAAAAATCCGTGAATCAATGTAAGAACAGATTAGTAAATGAGTGAATGGGAGAGAAGGCAAGTTCTAAAGGTAGAATGTCAACCAATAAACATGGGAAGAATAATGGAGTTTTAAAAAAGTCAACATTTTTAACCATCATAGTATAACTGCATCAAGCCAGAATCCTCAGTGAGGACTAAAATTGAATGAATATTTGATAAGAAATAGGATACCCATATAGTCTCAAGGTTTCTCCCCACAAATTATGTATTAATTCCAAAAGGAAATAGATGAACTTTACAGTGCTGAGACCTGTCCGATACAACCTTCAGCAAGCGATCTAAGGGAACATCACTAACAAAGGGACAAAGTGACATCATGTGTCTCCTGATGGGATGCACTTCTTAGGGGGATGAAATATATTTCTGTGGATTCCTTGCCCAAAATGCAAAACTTGAATCTAATTGAGGAAATACGAACAAAGCCAAATTGAAAGACAGTCTGCAACTGGTCTGCACTGTTAAAAATGTCAAGATCGTGAAAGACAAAAAAAGAGGAGGAACCATTCCAGATCAAAGGAGCCGAAACAGGCCTAACGAATGCACAGAACGCATGATTCTGGATTGAGTCTGAACAGAAAAAAGAATTTTATGAAGTGTTGTTGAGGAAACTGAATGTGAATTGTACATTACATAATAGAAGTGTATTAAGTTTAGGGAGCCTGGTGTCTAAGTCTGTTAAGCATCTGACTCTTGATTTTGGCTCAAGTCTTGATCTCAGGGTTGGAGATCAAGGCCCACGTCAGGCTCTGTGCTGAGTGTGAAGTCGGCTTAAGATTCTCTCTCTTGGGGCGCCTGGGTGGCTCAGTGGGTTAAGCCGCTGCCTTCGGCTCAGGTCATGATCTCAGAGTCCGGGGATCGAGCCCCACATCGGGCTCTCTGCTCTCTAGGGGAGCCTGCTTCCTCCTCTCTCTCTGCCTGCCTCTCTGCCTGCTTGTGATCTCTCTGTCAAATAAATAAATAAAATCTTTAAAAGAAAAGATTCTCTCTCTTCCTCTGCCCCTCCCCCTGCTTGCCCTCATGTTCTTTCCTGCAGTTCACCCTCTGCCCCACAAAAAGTGTATCAAGGTTAAATATCCTGGTTTGACTCACTGAAATATGAGTAAGAAAATGTAATTTTTCTTTGGAAATACACAGTGTAGTAGGGCTAAGTAATGGCTTCCCAAAGTGTCTAAGTCCTAATAACTGGAACCTATGAAATCTGTTACCTTGTCTGGCAAAAGGTACTTTGCAGGTGTGATAAAAGATTTTGACTTGGGAATATGATACTGGATTATCCCTGGAGGTATACTGTAATCCCAAGAGTTTTTATAATTGGAACACAGTAAAGTCAGACAAGGAGCAAGGAGATATGATGGTGGAAGTTGAGAGAGAAAAGGTGATGTCATTCAGGGCCTTAAGTCAAAGATTGTGCGTTGCCTGTGAAGCTGGAAAAGGCAAGGAAACGGATTCTCCCCTAGAGCCTGCAGAAGGAACCAGCCTTGCTGACACTTTAGTTTTAGCCCTGCAAGACTCATTTTGGATTCTGGCTTCAAAAAACTGCAAGAGAGTATGTGTTTAAAGCCACTAAGTTTGGGGAGCGCATGGGTGGCTCAGTTGATTAAACGTTTGCCTTCAGCTCAGGTCATGATGTCAGGGTCCGGGATTGAGTCCCCTTCCACTCCAAGTGTGGTCTGTAATCTGCAGAGTTCCTCACCCAGAGGCTTGACAGAATGCAGCTTCTCAGGTTCCACCCCCACACCTACATATTCAGATTCTGCATTTTAACAAAATCCCTAGGCTATCCAGTTACAGATCTACTTTGCCTTTAGCGATGGAGAACCGCCCTTCCCAGAGGGCGGAATCCCCAACTCTGCATTCCAGAAAAGCTCTCCACTTCCCAACCCTCGAATGCCTGCTTCTCTGTTGAGGTGTGGCAAACCCTTTCTGGAGAAAGCATCTGCTCGAAACTGCACGTTTCAACGGTCTCAATGAAACAGGGGACCTGACTGTTACTAAAACTTGTTGCAAAAACAGTAGAGCCATAATAACAGAGCCGCAGTGTGAGGCCAGGAGAGGGAAGGGAACAAAGGGATGCCATTTACAGCCCTCTCTCCACAAACGCCCCGCACACTTACCAAGGGGGTAGGGGCCTCTTTTTCCTAGAGCTCCTCCCAGAGTCAGCTTACACTGCCCCTCCTTGTTCACCGACTTCCAACTCAGTAGGCAGGGCAAAAAGCATAGGGGTGGTCTTTGTTCACACTATATTCCCAGTGCTAGGCACACAGTAGGTGCTCAGGAAATATTTTTTTGACTTAATCCAGTGAAGGCTCTGAGGCGGGTCCATCTGTCAGCGTCCACTCTGGTACTTACTGCCTCCACAACGCTTAGGGAGGCTTCTCCTGCCCAGCACTGCCCAACATAAATTAAAACAGAACGTGGGAAATGCTAGCAGAGTGCTGTACACAAAACACTTGGGTCAGGAAGATGGCAGTGGCTCTGGCTTGGCGGAGGTTGGACGGCTTCCCGGAGGTGCGGGCGCCTGAGCTAGCTCTGAAAGGAACCAAGCAGGGGTCACTTCAATCTCAAAGGTGCGAAGCCGTGCAAATACGGGGCCGTCGAACTCCGGGGACGGGGATTGTCTCCTCTGGCCGGAGGCTGGGGGATTTCCCGCCCTAGGTGGGCAGGTAGCCCCCTGCGGCTGCTCCGGGCGAGCCCGCCGCCCCTCTTTTCCTCCCAGCGCCGCCGGCTCGACTCCTCTTCTCCGCCTCCCCCTCCTCCCAGCCTTTAGGCTGTAAGTCTCTGCTCGCCACCCTGGCGGTCCCTCCTGTGTGGGGCGCCCCCGCCACACCCCGCGCGCGCCGTCTGTCCGCGACTCTCGCGCCCCTCCTCTCCGCCGCGCGCTCGCTCCCCTGCCCGTCGTCCCACTCCCGAGCCTCCCGCTCCCCGCCGCGCGTTCTCCCCGCGCCCCATCCCGCGCTCACCGCTCTGCGCGCCCCAGCCCCTGGGCAGTGCGCAGTCCCGGGTTCCGAGGCACGCACGCTCGTTGCCTAGCGACGGAACGCGACTCGCGGAGCGAGGGTACGCGCACGCCTCGGGTGCGCGCATCGAGAGCGCAGGCGCCTTTCGCCAAGACGGGGACTTGGAGCTTAGTGGGGATCTCGCGGCGACGGTGGTTTGGGCCGTTGGGCCTTGCGAGTGGTGCGGGGCTCAGACGACGCCCCGGCTTCTTTGGGCGGAGAGAGGTTTGTGTAGCGCCTGGGGAGTGCCGCCTCCTCCTCCATCCCTTCTCCTCGGCTGGCCTCCCCACGCTGGGTGGAGGGGACCGGGAAGGCGGGAGGGAGACCCTTCCGCAGACCCAGGATAGGAAAACGAACCCAAGCGCCCCGAATCTAGAGTTGCCAGATACAACATGGGACACCGGTTCATTATAAATTTCAGATAAACAACGAGTGATTTTGTATCATACTGCACTGTACTAACACGTTATTCCTTATTTCTCTGAAATTCATGTTGAACTGTGCATCCCCTATTTTTATGTGTTACATCTGGCAGCTCTACCCGAATCCCCTCCTTTCCCACTAGGCTGGCCGGCTTTCTCCTAGGCATGGGCAAAGGACCTCTTTCTGTTCCTTGTGACAACCTCTTCAGGCCCGAGGCAGCTGTTTCCCTGGGAAAGGGCTTTCTTATCTGGAGCCGAGATGCCTGTTGGTGTATATAAAAAATAACATTCTTCACAACAACCTGTGAGATGGGTATTATCGCCATTTCATGGACAGGAAACATGAGAAGCTAAGTAGCCAGTTTACCTGGGTTCTGTTAATCTAGGTCCATAGATCTGAGACCCACACTCGATGGGATCTACTCTTGGGCCAGAGGTTTCTCCCTTGAGGACATGGTCCTTTTCCCGTGTATTACTTTTCTGAACAGCAGCAGGAATCTGTTCCCTGTTTTACCTTTTCAAAAGACATTGAGATGTCACTGTAGTTATTTTGTCTTTAGAGTATGTCCCATTGCAGAAGCACAGAGAAGATACTGTGTCTCAAACTGGTTTGTAATAATATAGTCCTTCTCTCTGTATGGTTAAGACATACTTAACCAGCTTGAAATGCCAGCTTGAAAAGGAATTTGGTTCATTTGTGCCAGTTCATAGAGTTTTAAGTTTTTATGACTACATTTATGTACACACATACACATTCCTTCCCCCACTGCTGTTAATACAAAGGTGGCATACTGTATATAATTTCTACACCTTGCTTTTTTCCCTCACCTCACACTATGTCTTAGAGATCACTCCCTATTTTAGAGACCTTCCTAATGTCTTTTATATAATATATATGCACAGTAATCCATTGCGTTGTTGTATCTCAACAGTCCCTTAAGGATGAGTTTTTGGATGGGGTTCCAGTTTGACTATTCTAAGTAATGGTGCAACATAACTATGTGCATATAGCATCACTCCATATTTTTTCAAGTTAAGACCTGAGAAGGGAGATAGACGGTACAAAGAGTAAATACCTATGTAATTTTCTAGATATTACCAAATTCCTCTCTGTGGGGGCTATACCATTTATACATGCACCACCATCAAATGGGGGAGACACTACTGGGCTTTATGAACCTCAGGAGGTTGTTGTTTCTGAAATTTTATGCAGAATGTTCAGTGCATTTATCCAGGGACAGGACTAGACCTGCTGGCATTCTACTCTTTCATATTCAGCTCATGCCTGACCTATAGTAGGTACTCAGTTTGTATTTGTTGAATAATGAAAAGCAACTAGATTCCATAAGGATAATTTGAGGATGATCAGTTTTTTCAAAGCACCCGAAGTACAGTAGTTTCTACATTTCCCTTCCTTCCTTCCTTCCTTAACATCTGGTCTAAGATTATTCCTGTCCATCTTAATAACTGGGTATACAGGAACATTACTCGGAGAGTGGAGAAACTCATTCACTTGCCTCCATGGGGAGCCAGCATGCCCACCCTGTGACTGAAACACACTCCTTGAGGAGCTGAAGGAGCTTGTCTTGGGAGGATAGATGTGTGTGTACACAGATGATTCTCAGGTTGCATGACAGGTGCTATGTGAGTTGCTTGGAGAAGGAGGATCTCCTTTGCATGGCCTGGGAAGGTTCAGGGAATGAGAGATGACCTACATCTTGCAGGTGATGAGATGTATTTTCTAAGCTGGGAGATAGTGAGGAATCATTATGTGCAAAAGCCTTAGAGATGGAAGTGGGCAAGGTATGACCGGCAGAATGGCAGAATGTTAAGTGGGGTTAGAGCCCAGGATATGCTGGAGGCAGAAGAGATGTCTGGAGGTGAGCCTGAGAAGCAATTGGGGCCAAAGTGTAAGGAGCTTCATATGCTATTCTTTGATGGCTGAATTTTTTTTTTAATTTTATTCTTTGGCCTTGGAGATTTATGGACTTTTGTGTTTTTTTGAGGGTCAAGCCACTGACACTCGTGGCTTGGGAGGAACATCGGTGTCATTAAGATAATGACTCTGGAATCAAGAGTTGGGTATAATCCCATGTTTACCATGTTGACTTGTATGCTCTTTGTGCCTGGGCTTCCTCTTCTGCACAGCGGGGGTAATGACACTGATTTATCACCCACATTGTGAGGATGGAGTGAGACATGCATTGCTTGGCATGTAGCCATCTCACAGTAATGATGGTATCCCTTTATATGACTCTCTTTCATTATTTTGTTGTTGCTGTTGTTTAGTTTCTATATCATTTATTTCTGCTTTAATCTTTATTATTTCCTTCCCTTTGCTGGTTGGTGGTTTTGTTTGCTCTTCTTTTCTGACTCTTGGCCTTGAGAGCCCATCAGGATTTTGAAAATGCATCTTCATGGTAGCTGTTGTGACATCTGTGGACTCTCTTTGGAAACTGCCAGAAGCTTCATGGAGCCAGCTTGCTTGTGTCATCTCTGATGGGAGGCGCCCATAACAGGATGTAGTGCTTTGCTGGCCTCACTGGAGTCCACTTTTATTGTCCTTATTGAACATTCCCTGCATTAATGCAAAAACATTTACCTTTTAGAAGTCAGGGGTGAGAAATGGAGTCAAGGTATCTTCAAAAGTGCCTTGGGACATGTCTAACTCAAGGTCTTGCAGAAGTGGCAAGAATTCGCCCAGTGGATCCAATAGAATATTTAGGATTGTGGATTTACAAATATAAGGAAAACATGACCATGGAACAACTGGTAAGTAGGGATCTTCTTTTAGAAAATTAGAAGAGTAAGATAGTTGTTTCCATTTGTCTCCTTTTTTAAAAAGTCCAATGTTATTTCTATTATAAAAATAGTATGTTTATTATGAAAAACTTGGACAGTATGAAAAAAACAGAAGAAAAAATACTCCATAGATTTCCTCCTTGTAGATTTTTAGGTATTTTCTTTTTTCCTATGGATTGCCTATGTATTTGTAGACTTTTTCTGTACATAATTGTGATCATACCCAAGGTTTAATTTTAATTTTATGCTCTTTGTTCAAATAAAACACATTTCCCCAAATGATTACACATTTTCTAAATGGGGTAGAGTAAATTTGCTTCCCCTTTTCCCTCTTGTTGGTGATTAACATGCTTTCAAGATTGTTTCTACAAATTGTTCTAGCTCAAATTAGTCACGTGACATTGTTTTTAAACACTGCTAGAGACAGAAGGAAATGGCCGACCTGGAGCATGAGAGAGAACTTGCTGTGATAGAGCGGGAGATGATGGAGAGGCTCAAAGCAGAGGAGCTCCTGTTCCAGCAGGTGAGACAAGACAAGCATGGGAGTTCAGGGGTGACCGGAGTTAGCGGTGTCAGTCTCAGTGTGGTGCAACCCAAATGTTGAAAAACCCCCCATCTCTAATGAGTTAGGAATGGCTCTCTTATATCTTCATGTTTCTGTATTTCTGTATCTGTGTCATCTTTGCTGGAGAAACAGCAGCAGTGGGGGGGGGGGGAAGACCCAGGAAGTGTGCTCTTGTGGAGGCCAAGGGGAGAGACCCAAGGGGTCAACCATGCCTACCGCTGGTTGAGTGAGAGCAAGAGGGCAAAGTGCTCATTCAAGACCACTGGTGACCTTGGAGGGAGCAGTATGCATGAGGTTGGGTGCAACAGTGGAGATGGTGAGTGCAGGTAATGCTTTCAAAGGAGATTGGTTTTTTTGTTTTGTTTTATTTTGCTTTGTTTTGTTTTTAAGTAGCAGAGAGGAGAGGATTGTTGATGTTAAGGGATAGGGAGAGGGGCACCTGGGTGGCTCAGTGGGTTAAGCCTCTGCCTTTGGCTCAGGTCATGATCTCAGGGTCCTGGAATTGAACCCCACATTAGGCTCTCTGCTCAGCGGGGAGCCTGCTTCCCCCTCTCTCTGACTGCCTCTCTGCCTACTTCTGATCTCTGCCTGTCAAATAAATAAATAAAATCTTAAAAAAAAAAAGGGATAGGGAGAGGATGGTCTAGGTACATGTGGATGTATAGGTTTTGTGGCACAAGGTTTAAAACAGTTTCTGTATGACTCTTTCTTCTTTATGAAGTAGGGACCATGATCATCTTCCAAAAATGAAGTAAAGTGGCAGGTGTGGGAGAGCGGGGAGGGTTTGAAATGGTAGCTTTGGAGAATGGTAGAGTTGACCGGGAAACTTAGCATTACTTGGTAGCATTGAATAACCTGTCAGAGTTAGAGACTGGGCATTTATAATGTTGCCATTTGGTTTGGTTTTACGATTCTGTGATTTTCTCCACTTGGATCTAGAGATTTGAATGATGATGTGGAAGGGGCAGACCCTTTGATTGAAGTAGGTTTGGGATAGCAGGATTGGGGAGCTGAAAATGTTGGTAAGAGAATGGTTTCAGGAATAAGTCATGGATTATAAACTAGACAGGGAAAGTTCTAGAGTGGCTTTTGGACTAATTATATTTATGGAGAGCTTCTGAACTAAATTTGTTATCCCCATCGTTCTACCATTTTAGTACTTAACCCCAGAGTCTCAACTCAAGTCTATACAGTTGTAAAAGGGAAAGAAGCCTGTTATTTGGGTGTGTGGATAAGAAGGAAAATATAGACATGACAAATAGATTCTCTGCCTAACGTCTTATCCCTGACACTGAGGTAGAACATTCTAGGTACCCAAGATAGATATGGCTATTGAAAACTTTACTGCTCTGAATCCTTCAATTTTTCAATCACTTGGTTTATTCTTGTGGGGAGTTTGCAGAATGTTGAGTTGGGTGTCAGACAATCATCCAAATGGGGGAGCATCTGCCACAAAATTGCCCCCTTTGAGTGAGAATCTGCCCTTCATCTTATAGCTTCTACATCTAGTCTCTCAGAATGAGGAGAATTTCTCAGCAGTTCTCCTTCTCTAGGATAATTCTATCACAAACGTGGGGCCACTTGACTTTCCTTGGCTCATCTACTTCATCTTACTTAGATAAAATTGGGCAATAGTAGAAATTAAGCACTTCTCTCACTGTATCCTGTATCAGTAGGAAGGGCTCCACTGTGCACTGAACCCTGAGCATTGGGTCCAGAGTGGAGGATGCAACAACATTCTGCAGAAGATTTTAAGACCCATGAAAGAAACAGTGTGGTGGCCAGAAATAGATGAGAGAAGGAAAAAGGGGCCTGTGGAGAGAATGTCCACTGGAGAAGAGCTTAAGAGAGAGTGAGCCAGAGATGCTAAGGGACAGGAGCTCTGAGTCCACCATTGAATCAAGTGAGCTGAGGCATCAGGACTCTGGTCCCCGCCCTGTTGTTCTCAGTTGGTGCCACTGACTTGAAATGCCCTGAAAGTTTAGGACACTCTCCAGTAAATCCAGGACCCTGTGAACAGGGAAGGACTTTGACATTTTCTGCCTACGAGCTCACTGAGGAAGTAAAAGCTTTTTGGTTTGTTTGATTTTTTGGAATATATTCCTAATGGTTTTACTCCTGTGTGAAGAAAGGGATTGAGCTTTGAAGTTTTCCAGAAAGTGTTGAGAAACTGGTTCTCTTGACCAGTGTGGCTGGTACTTCACAACTGCATTTTGCACTGCTGTTCTGAGATTAGTCATTTCACTTCCTCCACCAATATCTGAAAGTGGATCGAAATGCCATGTTCTTGCCCTTCAGCGACCTGGCCCATCACTTTTATCTCAGTGTGGATAATTCAAGGTTACCAGGAAATTCCCTTTAACAACCCTCTGTAAGTAAATAGTAATGACTGTTTATTATCTCTTTATTTATAAAAATGTATTATTTTTTAATAATACATTTGAAAGACATAATGGTACATGTAGGTATTATGGTATATTATGTAGATACAGCGAGAGAGAATAAATTTCCACAAAAGTTATATCGACAAAATAAAATTTTTTTAAAAAATAGTAATTAAGTACAATTTTCCTTTTGGAACATAGGCTTACTGCTTAAGAGAATTAAATTATTTTCTTAGAGATAACATTTCTTTTAGTTGGAGTTCAAATTTAGTGTTCCCTATCATCAAAATTGATTGAAAACATTTATCCGTTAATGCTGATCTTTAATGAGATTTTAGTATTTCCTCTTTGAAAATAGCTGAGAGATCGGTCCTGCCAAATGCTGATATCGGTCCGTGTGGATATAATTTTGACCATATTTATCTCTTGGAATGCATTTGTAGAATTCTATTAGATTTTTATCTTGTTTTGCCTTTTGGCATGTCATTACCTCCTAGATTAATCACTTCCAGTTGAAGGTTGGTAAAAGCTTCTCAGTTACACAGTTACCTGGATTTGAAGATATGGAAATTTCATTCACACTGAAATCAAGGCCACAAAATACTTTGGGCCTATAGTCTGAGCTCGGGAAATACACCTGCTGCCAATTTCGTGTGGAAACTGGGGGAGAGGAGCATCTAGTTTCTTGTTTAAGATTTTGACCACATGGCTGGACTGGAAGAGATTATGCTGAGTGAAATAAGTCAAGCAGAGAGAGTCAATTATCATATGGTTTCACTTATGTGTGGAGCATAACAAATAGCATGGAGGACATGGGGAGATGGAGAGGAGAAGGGCGTTGAGGGAAATTGGAAGGGGAGGTGAACCATGAGAGACTATGCACTCTGAAAAACAATCTGAGGGTTTTGAAGGGGCGGGGGCGGGGGGGGGGGGGGTTGGGGGAACCAGGTGGTGGGTATTAGAGAGAGCACGGATTGCATGGAGCACTGGGTGTGGTGCAAAAACAATGAATACTGTTACGCTGAAAAGAAATAAAAAATTAAAAAAAAAAAAAGATTTTGACCACATGGGAAGTGTATAAAGCAGCTTGACATTGCGATTCAAACATTAATTGTTGAAATGGCTTCTCCGAAGTGTTACGTTTTATAAGAGCTGTTTTGCCTTGTAAGTTTAGTTTGAATTGACTTAAAAACATTATTAAGCCTGCAGTAAAGCTTACATGCAAAGCCATTTCAGGTTTGATAATAGAGATTGAGAATGAGTCTTCTCATTCCAAACAATTTCAGTCTTGGTCCCGAGCCCCAAAATGCACAGTAACCCGTCACCATGTGCAGCCATATGCAACTGCTGTGTGCTGGGGCGAGCCGAGATATATTCATTTTCTCTTTCTGACAAAAATCTGCAAAACTGATGACGGTTGCATTCATAGGAGAGAAGGAAGGACGCTGTTGGCACTGCTGGCTCAGTAGCACATGAAAGATTCAAGCATTTTCCCCAGAGTGTCGGCTGTTGAATAAACACAATGAATACTCTTGGGCTTTCAACACTGCATTTTCACAAGCTCTGTAAGTTTGTCCAACTAAGCCTCTTTCTGTTCCACATACATTTTTATCACCATTGGTTGTAACACATCTTAGCAGATTTCACTGCTGGTTGTACTGAATTCACGTTTCTCAACTTCTTTGGAAATATTTCTTGGGGCGCCTGGGTGGTTCAGTCGGTTAAGTGTCTGACTCTCTATGTCAGCTTAGGTCATGATCTCAGGGTTGTGGGATCCAGCCTCGGGCTGGACTCCACGCTGAGGGTGGAGCCAGCTTAAGAGTCTGTCTTTCCCTCTCTCCCCAACCACCATGTGCTCACGCACTCCACTCCCTCCCTAGAAAGAAAGAAAGAACAAGGGGTGGGGGGAAGAAAGGAAGGAAGAAAGGCAGGCAGGAAGGAAGGAAGGGAAAGAAAGAAAAACAAAGAAAGAAAACTAAGGAAATTCCTCTTGACTATTCATAGAGGCTGATCTTTCGGTCTCTTCAAATTCAGCATTGACACTAGTAAAGGACAACAGCCGAGCAGTGTTTGGGGACATTTGTCTACATATCAAGAGCCAAGGAAAATCGCTCAAAATAATTTGCCTCGTTTTTACTCGACTGTTGATGTTGTTCCCGGTGTTGTTCCTGGTGTCATCAACTCTTTGAGCAACTGTTCTCTCCAAAAAGCTAATAATCTTAATTTAAGTTTATTATTATTTTTTTGAACACTGAAATCAAACACATTTTAATTAAATCGTCATTGGGAAATGAACTTCTTTGCTTGGCTAACAGATGAACCACTTGGAAACTTGCTTTCATTGCAACCTCATTTTTTTAATTTTTGTGAAGAAATTTTACTGTGATGAAATAATCCTGTTTAAAACAGTCTACTATTTCTGACCTTTGTTTTCATGTGAGTTGAGAATACTGTGATGGTAAGTGTTTAGTCTGGTAACATTGCTATTGCATTCTTTTAGTAAAGTATCCTTCATAATAAACACCATACTTTGCTATTTAATTTGGTAATAAAATACTGTCCACTGTATCTTCAAGGGGCAACATTCAAAGTCCACTTCTTTTCTTGTTATGATGTGATGGGTACACACTAACTTAAAAAATGTCATGGTGTAGGGGTACCGTGGCACTCCACGAACTGTTGAGATGAAACGGAGTCACCAATTTGTAGCACGCTGAGCACCAGTGCAAAGTGATGAGAGTACGACCTGTGGTCCCTGTTGCCACCACTCAACTGTGCTGTTGTGCAAAAATAGTCACAGACAATAAGTAAGCAAACGAACATGATGGTGTTTCAATAAAACTTTATTTATAGGCACCGAGATTGGAACTTTTTTGTAATTCCCATGTATCAGGAAATATTATTATTATTTCAATACTTTTCAACCATTTAAAAATGTAAAACCTTTCCTAGCTCAGGGGCTGTACAAATACAGGACTGAGTCAGATCTGGCCCACAGAATTTAGTTTGCTGACCCTTATTCTAGTGTGGCATGTATGTTGAGTTGGGACCAATACATTTTTGATTATCTATAGTTTTGGATAATAGACTTAAGATTTTCTCATCCACTCTTCTGCAACTAAGGTTCGGGTCTTTGAATACCCATCTATGCTTGAAAGGATTTTATCTAAAAAAGGTACTGCAAACTCATTTGTTGCTTCAAGAAGAACAGAAAAAATAACTTGATTTTGCACAAATTGTGCTTTTCTACAAATTAGCAATTAAGGAAGTTTCCTCTTTTATGTTAGACTTCAGGAAATATTTGTAAAAGCTTAAGTATTAGGTGGCTGTGATCATTTATTCTTGTAAGCGTCTGAAATTTAGGTGGGTATAAACTTAATTATCCTGGGACTTTTCAGAGTGATTAGAGTTAATTCCTTGCAATTGATCTGACGCGAATATGACTTATTTATTTCTGAATATTCAGCAACAGCTGGCATTCCAGCTGGAGTTGGAAATGCAAGAAAAAGAGAGACAAAGAATAGAAGAGCTACAGAGAGCTCAAGAAGAATTAGAGAAGGTAATTTGAAGTTTTATTTTTTAAAAAGTCTGTTTTATTAAAAAAAAAAAGTCTGTTTTATTTAAAACCTCATAGAATCCTCAAACTGTTTCTTGCAACTGTCATATGTGGGATTCAGAGACGTACCACACATTAGCTGTGCGACTGAAACAAGTCTTACAACCTTTACAATCTCAGTTTGCCTTTTTGAAAAATAGGGGTAACAGTCTAATTTCACTAGCAGTATCTTACTGGTTTGTTGTAAGGGTCAGCTACCGATTGTGGGAAACTGCTTTGTGAGCCGCAGAGTTCTCTCATGGTGATGGAAGCAACCTTCTAGCCCAGGAACAGTTGTTCCTGACTGCGGTAGCTGATGATCAAGGTTAAGTTCTTTGCAATATTGAGGGCATTTGGCTTAACTGAGCCACCCAGGCGCCTCCAGCCAGTCTCTCTCATGCAAATGTGACTCCTCTATTTATTCCATAATTAAAGTTAAAAACAGAAGTAGGTCTTGTAGAATATGTGTACCCCTGGCTTGGATGAGAGCATAATTATTTAAAGCACTTTTTTAAAAGTTGGAAGGCTGAATTGAATTTAAAAAGTGATATTCTTAAAAAGATAAATTCAAAGACCTATACATAGTTAAAAAAAACACATCGTTAACAAAAACACAGATGCTGAGCTTATCTTAGTCTGAGTGCCGTAGGGTGCAAAGATTCACACCATGCACACGTGCCCATAAATACATGGAGATATAGACCCCCTTTGTCTTCAGTGAAGACTCAGTGATGTAAAATGACAGAAGAAAAGTTTCTGTTTTATCACTTGTCTCGTTGGCTAATAATTTGGCTTCAGGTTTAACCTTTCAGGTCATTTCATTTTTTAAAAAGAGTCATGTTTAATTATAAATAAAACATGGTTTTCTATTAGTAGCCAATGTTAAATGAGACTGCAGGCTACAGTTTTGTACTAAATGTATTCAGATCACCCCTTTATTACTCCTGACCTATTTGCTATTAAATTGATCATAGCATTATTTAAAAATAAAATTTCTTGGGGTGCCTGGGTGGCTCAGTGGGTTGAGCCTCTGCCTTCGGCTCAGGTCATGATCCTGGGGTCCTAGGATCGAGTCCCGTGTCGGGCGTTCTGCTCGGTGGGGAGCCTGCTTCCCCCTGTCTCTCTGCCTGCCTCTCTATCTACTTGTGATCTCTCTCTCTATGTCAAATAAATAAAATTTTAAAAAATCTTTAAAAAAATTTCTTGAAAATTAAACATGGAATCAAAATGGAAAGTAAGTTCAAATATTTTTCTTCATTTTTATATATTATAGGAGATGAGAATGAATACAGAAAATATAGCTAAGAGTGAAGATAGTTCACATTCAGAGGTGAGAAGGACAAGTTATTCTGTGTTAAGTGAAATGAATAAGTGTCCTGGAAAGCAAAGCCTAACATTGATGCATGAGTAACTAAACCTTTTAATAAGGAAAGTGTAAAAATTGATAGTCTAAGTTTGTGTTCTAGTAATAAACAATTCACAAGTATGATAAGCTTTAAAGCAAAACCTCAAAGTGGATAAAAATGGGACATTCAGTTTCTATTTGTATTTTTAAAAACCAAAATGTTGTGAGATATTTATTGACCATATGTTTAGTTACAATGATATATCTTAAATTTCTGAATGTACTTTTTAATTAAGTTTTAGCATTTCTAGAATTCTCTCTCTAGTAATAGGTATTGGTTCATTCCATTAACATTAAAGTTCGATGTTATAATTCAGACATTATTGAAATCAAAAGAAAATGAGTGTCTTAATTTTGAACTCATTTAAACTTAAAAATGAATTTTAACGATTGTAGGATGTCACATCAGACACAAGCAAAACACTAGCTGAAATTAGCGATCGATATGGGGCACCTAACCTGAGCAGAGTGGAAGAACTTGATGAGCCAATGCTATCTGATGTAAGTATCTTTAAGAAAGTCTGTTGTGAAAAACAGGTTTTTGTTTTGTTTTTGTTTTGTTTTGACTTTGGGAAAGCCTAGTGCATAGGAGACCACGGTTTGTTGGCAAATGGGCCCTTAGTGTCAGAGAAAGACAATCAGTTCCCTGGGTGTTGACCATCTGTTCTTCCTGGGCTTTCTGCTCTTTTGTGAATGTTGCTGCTGGCCACAAGGGTCCGGGTGGGTACAGGTCTGGCTCCTTTCAAATGTGTCAGCACTGATGGGAAAGTAGTTGGAACCTAGTGTCGAGGTCATACTGTGCCCTTGTGCAGAGGGCGATGTATATATTTTGGACTCAGGCTTTGAAAATCTCAGAATCTCTTCAAAATAAATATTTAAAATCCTTTGGTGAAATACATAATCTTTAAGTTAAATTTGGAGGGCCAGCTAGTTGATTCTCAGTGGCAAACACTAGAACCAGATACAAATGCTAATGAAAAATGCATGCTTTTCCACTATATGCTTGCGTAATAAACATACAGTGTTTTCTACGTACCAGGCACTGTGCCTGATGCTGTTGTGCTTAAAACACATAGTTATTGACCTAGTCTGGGGGGAAACAGACAATTGGACAAGCAGTTAATAGTCTTTGCTTGAGTGATCAAGTGATTTATTGGCCAGAGCATAGGTTTTTGAGAGTGAACAGGTGAGCTGTTAATAACTAAGCCAGATCCGCTGGTGTAGACCAGGACTGTCGGGGCAGAGGGTGTATTTAGTGACCTAACACCATGTACGCTGACAAAGTGGGGCAGCCAGCCCAGCGGAGGAGCTCTATCCGGGAAGGTTTCCTGAAGGAAGTTGATGACTGGTTGCTGAGAGTGGGAGGAGGAGGGTCTGAGAGCACAGCCAGTATGAGACACCCCAGGGGAGAGTGAGGGGGTGTGAGGCAGGGAGGGAGAAGGGACCAGGCAGGAGAGGGAAGAGGAACAGGCCATGAAAGACTTGGTAATTTGTGCCCAGACCAGTATGTAGATTTGATCCTAAAGGCTGTAGAGGCTGATGCAATCACCAATCAGCATTTTAGAAAGGCCAGATGTGGCAGCACAGAGGGAAGGATGGAGAGAGCGACGTGAGGACACCAGTTAGGAGGCTAGGGCAATAACGCAGACTGGGATTTTGTTGGAGGCCTGTTAGAAGGGGCAGCTGAAAGCACTTGGTCCTAATGAGTCAGTAGAGACACTTTCATTAAATGTCTGTGTTTTAGTATCACGCAGGCAGGCAGTGAATACCAATGAACAGAACAGATGGGGTTCCTGCCCTCTGGGGGCTGTGGGCTGGGGGCAGGTGCTCCAAGAGGAGGGACCTGGCCTGGATGAGTCTTCCTGATTAATGATGCTTAAGGAGGTAGCCTGAGCTGAGTGCAGCAGATGGAGACAGCAGGACACTGTCAAGGAGCTGGCGTAGCCCAGCTTGAAGACTGGGTTGCACGGAGCTGCGAGGTGTGACTCAAAGCTGGAGAGGTGGCTAAAGGTCACATCACACTGTGCTCTGTAGGACGAGTGCAACAAGAGTCACTGAAAGGCTCTCTGTAGGGTAGAGAGAGGTGGAGAGGTGATTTTAGAGGAGGGAGAGACGATTTGAGTGGGCAAGTGTGGAAAAGGGAGACCGCTTAGGAGGTTTCATGATTGTCCAGATGCAGGATGACCAGAGCTTGGACCAGGGTGTAGACAGCAGAGATGGGGAGAACTGGATGGATTTGATGTTGGCTGGGAGGATGAGGGACAGACGGAAGTCAAGGGGATGCCCAGATTTCTGCCGTGGGCAACTGGACTAGGAGCTTAACCATTTGTTGAGTTGAGGAATATAAGGAGAGGAGGTAGGTTTCATGAAAATGATGGCTTCAGTTGTAGATGTGTTGAATGTCAGGTAACCCTGAGATAGGCAGATGTAATTGGCTAAAGACCAGTTGATGTAGGATAGCTGTTCAGAGGATAGGAGAGAGCAGCAGGCGGGAGATAGGAACGCAGCAGCTATAGGCTATGGGCTATGTGGGGCTAGGAGATGCAGGGAGTTAGGTACCTAGGAGAGCGCGCAGACTGCAGAATGGGGCTCAGGCGAATGCATTAGAAATTCCGTCATTTAAGAGGTGGATTCAGGAAGAATAACAATAAGAAAGGGGAGCAAGAGAAATAGAAGAAAGGATGGGTTAACAAAGCTTGAGAACATTTGCTTGGATCTTACTTGAAATAATTTGAAACTATCAAAAAAACTTCATTTACACAGTCACAGTTCTAACTGTATTAAAGCATATTTATGTTTTGTTTTACTTTTAGGTTGCATTAAACATTGATCAAGATTTGTAGGATCAACCAACCTAAGAGCAATAAATTTTTCTGCTTGTTTCAAGTTTCAAAACACGAGGTTCCCTACTGTGTTTTTTCCCTCTAAAGACAGCTTTATAGGTGGGCTTCAAGGGTAGTGTTAAAAGGCTGTTCTAGATTCCCAAATACAATTTGTGATTCCTAGGATTCCTCTGAGAATGGGAGAGAGAGTTTGTCCAAGCTACTGAAAAGGGCAAATGAGAGATGAGCTGAAAAGAGCATGTGTGTCTGCGTGAAAACAAGATTGTTGAGGTGCAAGTTCTCATCTGGGAGGAGAGAGAGGGCCTGCCACCAGTGCGGGGCTCGGGAGTGTTCAACTTGCTTTATATCCCACCTTCCCCCACCAAGTGGACTGCAAAGATTTCCCCAGTTTGCTAGGCAATGATACTTTGTAAGACCATTAATCCATGCTTAGTAATGGGCTGGATAGGGAAAGATGCAAAGTGCTGGGGTACAGAGAAGCAGCCTCTCTTCTGGAGCAGCCAGTGGGCAAAAGTGTTGGTGCTGCTATTCAGGGGAAGCTCTCGCTGGACAAAGGCCATGCAGGGGCCTTCCATGAGTGGCTGCTGGGTAATTCGTGGACTCTGTAGTCTCTCCTGGCTCCTCAGAAGTTTTAGGCCCAGCCTTAATCTTTAGGAGAACTTTGCTTCCTTTGTAGAATTCTTCCAAATCTAAATCTCCGTTATGAGCCCTTTCTGTTCTTGAAGGAGTAGTGTAGACATGGAAATATAAATGCCAGGAAGAGGCTTCTTAAAAATGAATAAATAAATAAATAAGTAAACAAATAAATAAGTAAATAAAAGTAAGTCTGCTTTTGGTCATCACATACCTTCCCTGAGGCAATGAGAATAGAGCAGCCTAGTTGCTTAAACCGGAAAAGAAAAAAAGGGAGAGGAGAGGGATATTGTATTGGTTTCATTAAAAAGAAATGTTATCTTGCCATGTCAGCTTTGTACATTTTTAAGAAAGAAGTCCCAGGTGCCCTGGGGACGCAGTTTCCTGGTCAGTCAGGCCACTAGGCACTGTGCGCCCCCCAGCAAGGATGACCCACATCAGTCCATCCAGGCAGGTGTGCCTAAGAGAGCAAGACAGTGTAGTGTCCCCAGGCCTTAGACTATGAGGATGCCCTCATAGAGGGCGGGGGGTGGAAGAGCAGGCTAAGAGGGCCCTTGGGCTCAGCATAGCCCAGGCCAGTCTCATACTGGAGCTTAACAGAAAGAATCTGTGAGTGTTGGCTGGTCACGGGTGGAATTGCTGTGATTCTGGGGTAGGGAGTAGTCTGATTGGAAGCACTCTCAAGCCGGATCTGGGCACAAGAGAGTGGAGGTAGAATGGGGTGAAAAGGAGATGAAACTTTTTTCTTGACTTTTTTCTATGCCTGGTAATTTTTGGTTAGATGTGAATTCCGTCTTCTTGGGTGTAGGATATTTCTATTCCTATGAATATTTTTGGATGTCATTAAGGTACTCAGGAATAGTTTGATCCTTTCTGGTCTTGCTTAAGAAGCTTTATTGAGTGGCACCAGAAGAGAATGGAGTCGAGGGCCAGTTTTGCCTCAGCAAGACAGCACTCTCTGGGTGTACTACCCAATGTTGAGTGAACTATGAGAATTTTCACTTCAGCTGTGGAAAGATGAGGTAAGATGGACAGCAAGAGAAATTATTCCCAGCTCTCTTCAAGCCATGGGTATGTCCTCTAATTGTTTCAGAGGTTCTTTCTTTAGCTTATCATTTCCTCATACCTATGTGTTTGTTACTCAGCTGAAGACTTGGGGGGACCCTCCGGAGATATCCCTGGACTCCCAGACCCTCCTTATCCAAGGAGACCACCAGGTTTCATGTATGTTCTCCTTCCCTGTGATGTAACTTGTCAACACTGAAGGCAGTGTCCCAGCGCAGTAGTAGGGAGCACTCTTGTTTCCCGTTTCTCAGAGCTCACTGTCCTTTTCTGCACTACGTTCACTGTCCTAAGAGCTGTAGTTTTGTCTGTTTTGTGTGGGTTTTTCATTGTTTCATATATGAGGGTAAGTCCTGCCCCTGTTGGTCCACCTTTGTCTGAAACCAAAGTTCAAATGCTACAGAATTTTTCTCATAAAAATAACTGTTCCTCTTGGCTTTCTCCACTTTCCTAATTTGGTGAAATGTAACATGATTACTTTCTGAGAAGAATTTGAAGGGTTCTGGAGGTATCTAATGACTTCTGTCTCTTAACCTGTTTGGGAACCAGGCAGAATGGGCCCAATGGGAATCAAAGAATCAGCTTTACAAATGCTAAAACTACAACAGAGAATGCACTTTGGACACAAGCTAGGTACCCTGTTCCTTCCGGCTAGTTTGAAGAAAAGCAGCTGGAGAGCTATTGTTCTCTCTGTCAGCTGGAGAGCCTGTCATTCTTCTTCTCAAATGGGGGACAGGAACATGGCGGGGCTGTAGCCAGTTCTGATCCCTGATGCTTTCAGGAGCTAGAGCTCAGAGGCCTGGTTTACCCCTGACCCATTCTTCCTTCTCTTAGGATCAGGAAGAAAAGGTACAGCAATCGCCTGGCTTCCTCTTCTGCCACACACTTCTCTCCTGAGAAATGATACCATATCAGTATTATTTTGGCTGAAATAACGTGACTGAAATTCCTGACTGGAACAGGCTGAGAACAATGATCCGTTGTCTCCCATGTGAAGTCCAGAGGATGGGCAGGCCACAAAGTGATGGATCAGGGCTCCAGCTCCCTTTCTCTTGGCTCTGCCTTTCTGCTGTCTGTTGGTTTTCATCCCCAGGCTGTTCCTAGTGTGGCTGCAGTAGATAATTCCAGACGCTGTATTTAGACATGATGACATCTTGTGGAAGAAGAGAGGAGAGTCTTCCTGCTGTTTTTATTTCTATTCCTAGAAACTCCCTGGCAGCCTTGCCTTCCTGTCTCTCTGATTATGATTGCATTCGACACTTATCCCCAGTCTCATTTACAATGAAGATAAGGAGTCATCTTCAATGTATGTCAAAGGGTCACATGCAGTTACTAGGGTGGGGCTAGGGAGGCTTCTAGGGTATGACATCTAAATGTTGACTCTGCAGTTAACACGAACTTGAGGATAAGCACCTCTTAAATTTTGCTACCCCGGCACCCTGTTTGCCTTGCCCCAGTCTTGGCTCTGCCATTTACTATGGGAAATAAGGATAGTGCATCACCTTTGCCTTGCAGAACTTTCAAGTACTTGGCAAGCACAGCTTGTGCGCACATATAATAGACACCAACTAGAAGTACAAATAGCGGCTAAGAATTTAAAGGCAGATATGATTTGAGCAAGCTTCATGAAAGGGAGAACTTTTTAAAAGGAGCCTGGAAGGAGAGGTGAGTTCTGAACATGTGAAACCCATGGACATGTAAAGGAAACTGGGCCAAAGAGAGACGGCAAGGAACAAGATAGGGGAGGTCCTGGACACCACCCTCCAAGGTCTGGACTTAAGACCAGGGAGTGATGTGTGGGAAGAGACCGAGGATGGCTTTGAGAACTTTTTGTAGTTTCCATTAAGGATGTGGAGGTGAAATTCAGATCGTGTAGTTAAGGGCATGGATTTTGGTAATGAAGGGAAGGAGATTGAGGTTATCTTTTGGAGAAATTTGGTGATGAAGAGACAATGACCTGAGGATATAGCAGGGTTGAGCAGAGATTCTCTCCATGGGCGAGGTGAGCTGCTGCTTGTGCTCTGGCAATAGGAAAGTTGATGAGCTGAGAAGTGGAGAGTGAAGGTGTGGCTTAGGAGGGTTCAAGCAGGGGTCCAAGGAGTACTAGGCATGGGACAAAACTCACAGGGGGAGAAGAGCATTTTCAAAATGTGTCTTCTTCCAGGAGGAGGAAATGTAGAGAAAGACATTTTAAGTAAAGAGGATGAACATTTGGGATAGTGGAGCCATGTAGAATGTACATGTTCTCCATGTGATCCTTTGGGTAAAAAAGGAGAGAAGGGCAAAGGCTGGTCAGGGAGTTGAGTGAGGAGGTGTTAAAAACTTACACTAGGTTGAATGGACCACTAAAATGACTGTTGGACAACTCCGTGGACCCACTGCAAGTCCCTCATTCAGTAAACACTTGATGGACGCGTACTCTGTGTCAGTTTCTCATCCGGACAGTAAGTACGAGTGCCTGCCTCTTAGCATTGTTCTGCAGATGAATGACGTAATTCATGGAAAGCTTTCTCAGCAGTGCCTCACACTCAGTAAGCACTCAACAGGGAATGAAGTGGTTGCCGCTGCTGTCTTATGTGCCAGGCACTATGATGGTAAGTGGAATCTTCATCAGAGTTCTTCAGTCCTGCTCTCTAATGGCCCATAACAAACTCAGAGGGAGAGCGGCATCCATGGGTAACGGAGGCACTGTAGAATTGAGGATTAGTAGACTGTCACAGGACCACGGGGATCTGGGGTCAAGTGCGAGCTGCAGTGAGTGTGTGGTCCATGCTCCATGATCACCATCAGCTGGGTGACAGCACTTGGCTCTAGGCAAGGAGGTGAGCGATGTTGTTAAAAAAGCCGATTCCCAGACAGGGAATGGTGGGAGGAGAGGAGGAGGCTCAAGGTAGGAGAGGAGACATTGGGGGCATAACTCATGGGAGAAGAGTCTGCAAGTTTGGCCTAACCAAGCAGTCAGTGTTTACAAAGGGCTCTGGCCCTAATGAGGAGCTTGACTATAAATTAGGCATAGGGTCAATGCCCATTGTCCAACTCAGGTATCTACTTTAAGGACTGGGACAAGACAGAAGGGGGTTTGTGACTAGGTGGGAAGGGGTCAGGCTCAAAATTGGTGGAGAGGGAAGGGGGCTAACATGAGCACTTCTTCATGCTAGAGGCTCTACCAACAGTTGGTAGATTGTGGGTATAAGCCTGGGTTTGAATGTGTGGAGAAACAAAGTTTCAGAAAAGAACTGTTCAGAGTTGTTTACTAATGAGTCTTGGAACGGGCTTTGTGGCCCAGTGCTGTTGGAGATAACTGC